ATTGCCTTTGCTCAATTTCACAACAGAATTCTCTAATCCTGGGGACCGCAATAGTTGTGTCACTTGTTTCTCAAATGTGTTGGATACTGGTCACGCTAAAATAACATCACAATACAAAAGCACTCTTTTGGAAACATTTCTATGTATGAAAAGCAGTAAAAGCCATCCAAAAGATACAGGACATTTATTAAGGCTCAGACAAATCCACTCATGAACACGAAGGGAGGCTGCAGTAAGGGTCAGAAGGCAATCAGAAAAAATACGTTTTGTTTAGGGTTATGTGTATGATTTTTAAGTATCCTTAACATACCAGCAGCCCAAAGTTCAGCTTCCATTCAGGTTTACTTAATTAATTTTTCAACTGCCTACGGATTAGGTGACTGTCATTGAAACATCCTCTTCAACACTCTTCACTGAGATCTTATTGAGAAATTCTTCCTGTATAGTTCCATGACAGGAAGAAGGATGCTGAACATTATTTTTCTTAGCCAGAAAAGCTACTTTCCTTAATTGGGAATGCCAATTTTAATCGAAGTTTTTATGCTGTACCATAAGGTGAATTTAAAATGTATGACTTAGCAAATGTTAAAATTTTGCTCTTAACATTATATAGTCCTACCACACTTTGTCCTCATTCCTGACACATCTTTAGGCAAATTTTGTGGTGTGAAGCAGATATTTTGTAGTTGTATTTTTATGCCCAATCAGACATGATATAGAAAGAAATACATTTAGATTCTGAATCTCTCCCAAAAAAAAGCATATATTTCATGGTTTCAAACCCTGGCCAGTGTCCAGACCTTCGTCTAGTTTCCAGTAAAGTTTTCACTCACACGTCTTAAAGCATTACTATCACATCTGTAAATTTCAGAAGAGACTCAAAAAATTCCATAGTTAAGAAAACCATATGCCTTGTCATCTTTTGAGGTGATTCAATCCAAGTCAGTCCCTGGATTAACCTGCTTCTACAGGTAAATGGAAGATTTAGTTCAAATCATCTGTATTAGGTCTATATGGAATTATCATTATTATTACTATTTGCAAGACCTCTTTTTACAGAAAAAGTTATTTCTTCATATTTACTAGCTTTCTCATTATTCTTCATATACTCCTTTCACCTTAGTTTGGAGTCGCATTATTAGAAGCAGGACAGGCATCATGGAAAGCAATAAATACTAATAATGTAAACAATAATTAAATGCTAATAGTGAGAAACAATAACTGAACTCTTATCTTGCACATCCCAATGTGCATTGCATTCAGATGGCTACTAAACCTACTACCAGGTATGTAAGTGTCTCTCTTTTTTTTAATTTTTAATTTTTTTAGAAATCCCAATTTAAAAAAGTTTCATTTTGTTCAATTGGGAATCACTCTTTTGGTTTTACTTTTCGGTAAGAAAACACTATTATCTCAGGTCAAATCTAAAAGTGTTTTGGTTTGTCTGCCAAAACTAACCCCAAAATGTTTTACAAGGAATTTTGCTGTATTAGTTAAGTGGTATTTACAAACCCAGCCTTTAGCTACAGTCTTTACTGCACCTCATAGAAACATCATTAACACAAAGTAAGGAAATGTAAAGGGGTATCAAGAAGTCACAACAACATTTCTTGCTCGTGATTACCATGCCGCTCTGCATGAAGGTAATTTACAATAGCATATGGATCAGTTTGGCCATGTTGCATTGCCTTTCCTGAAAGAATTCATGTTAGAGTAGGATCTTCAGAGAAAAAGGAAATTAAGTCAGCAACTCACTCACCTGGGTAAGGGCTAATTTTCGAAAGAGAAACTCTTTGGAGTTTCGGAAAGATCTTGGCACTCTTAGCTGCAACTAGCACAGGAAAATTTTTGGCAGTTTTATTTTGTTGTTTTTGTAAACTGACCTATGAAACTTTGCAGTTCCCTTTGATTATGTCACTGGTATGACATTTTTAGCAAGAGTCTGTTGCAGAAGCCAAGCTCTTCAGACTCTATTTCCTTCTCCAAGTCATTACATGGATTAACCAATTGAAGCAGTTCTTTGCCTAATAACACAAGAGATTCTATTGGAACTTCTAACTTTTGACAGCCATATAGAAGTTCAAACTGTATTTTTAATTCCCTCTCTCAGACTTACTGGCAAGCCAAAAGCTCACCCACTAAAGCACCACAAGCACTTTCACAGTCGATGTATAAAGAAAACAGCTATTTATTAGACTTGTCTTCTATAATATGTACAAACAACATGGATAGGGACAAAGCGCCTTTGCCTTGCATAAACACTGAAAGAGTGAAAAGAAAATGAAAACAAGGCATAAAACAAAGAAAGGATGTGTACAATGGAACAGGCACAAGTTACTTTTTTTTGTTGTTTTTCTTTTTGTGCTAAAAATAGAACACAATGCTTATCTTTGTGTAGAGACTACTCACCAAAGCCTGAATAAACCGGAGGTTAAGAATATCAACATCATGAAAACTCTTTCCAATTTTCGGTTCTTTATCTGGATTCACTTTCTCCTAATATTACTTTCTTCAGAAACTGAGTCCTCTCCCAACAAAAAAATCCAACAGAAATGCTCTTAAGTAGACATTGTAACAAAGCAATGATCAGACTTAGTCCTTAGCTAGCTATCATAGTTAAAAGTGCCATTAGAGAAAAATGTGAGACACTGAAGCTAAGAATTTTGACAACCAAACCTTCACTAGCTTTGAAGCTTTTTAAATTCCATCTCTTGTAAAAGGCTGAACAATTTTCTACAATAATGTTTCCTAGCTATGAAATATAACATTGCCTGGAGTTACTTGGAATGTACAGTAATTAGCGACAAATAGAAGACAGTGCACATCCAGTGCAGTTCAGTTTGGGAGTTTTCTTGCCAGAATTGCCATTCACTTAACCAAATTAAATATGCTGTTTGTATCACATCTTGTCATTATACTAAAACAAAACCTTGAATAAAGTTTGTAACAAGACTGACATGTGGCAAAAATACAGTCTCATCTAAAACCAGCATGCTTTCACATTAGGGTTCTTTGTACTGTGCATTGTAAGATACTGCTACTGCAAATGTATAAATACAGGAGTTTGCCATAACTAAATATGCTTGCAGGATAAAGGCTCAGCTGTAAATGTATCAGAAGTACCTTGTAAATTATCAAAATCTTATCAAGACAACAATGTCATAGAACCTCAGGATACATTTGCATATATAATATAGAAATGAATATGCTATGATTTTAGATGTTTTCTGAAAACATCTACAGACATAAGAGTTGTGGTGTACAAAAAAAACCCCATGTGCTGACTTAGGAGATAAAATACAATACAATATTTATAATACTAATGTTATATTAAGGAACTTATATGCAAGAAAAACATAAGAACTAAAATTTAACCAAGGTGCATTCTGTTCCAACAGATCATTTTAACTTCTTTCTCAGTCAATAAAATACTTCATTTTCACCTCCGAGAATATTCCATTATTTGTTAGGTCTAATTAAAACAAAAGGCTCCTCCCTGACCATTTTAGTGGTGCTGCTGAGCAGCTGTGGCAGCTTGAATTGTTATCACCTGAACTTGGTAACAAGAGCTATGCACACTGTTCTGTATGTGGTTAATAAGTGCCTTAACTTATTGGCACTAACATTCTCTCTTCCTACCAAAAAGATCTTCCTTGATGCATCTTGGAATTATATTTTCCTTTCTCACAGCCAAATCACAGCAGTGACTCATAGTCAGTTTTTTTATTGATTACTACAGTCAAGTCTTTTTACCCTTGTGTCACTTCCAATTTATGAGCCCCATTTATAGAGAAATTCCTATCAACTCTATGACCTTGCACTTCATAGTATGAGATTTCTACCTGTTTCTGTTGCTGTATTTTCAAGGTCATCTAGCTCTTAGTGTTTAACATTTTGGTCTCCTCAATATTAGCAAATGCCTCCCAAATTTTGTCAGTCTTGTACTTTTCCTGCCTGCTTCTTTAATGAAAATATTAAAACAAGGTTAGCCAAATAGCAGTCCCCAAGGAACTCCATCAGTAAACTCTCTCCAATCTAAAAGTTTCCTTTCCAACACAAAGAAATGTAACCTCTTATTTGTCTAGTTCATCACACCCTAATTTTCTTCTACTAATCCCCATTTTTTCTAGCTTAAGTAATAATTTATTATATGGATTATTTTCAGATAAATAAGATAACAGTCTGAAGTCTTATTAGAAAGAAACACCAGGCTTGCATGTCACAATGTGCTTTTTTGTAAGCTTCTGCTTTATTTTACTCTATTTTTCGGCAATTTCTCTTTATTCATGTTTTTCCTTCTAAGCTCATAACGTTGATAAGACCACACTTCACCCTGCCCCCACTTTCTTAAATACAGATACCATCTCACGTACTTAATAGACATTTCTGAAAATGATGTCCTATATGTACCAAGCTATTTTATCTAAAAATGAAACCACAAAAAATATTACAACTAGAACAACATTCTCTTTTTTAGAGAAAAAGAATAATTTACAATGTAGCCTAATAGTTTTAAGCTGTCACCTAAGTCTCTAAGCAGAGTTATAACCGTGAATAAAATGGTTATTTTAGTGTAATGATGCTTGCTCATTACTAACAAATGCACATTAGTAAAATATGCCCTGCAGAGTTAATAGCCTATGAATGTGCTTGCCTGTGCATGCACTAACATCGTGAAGTCACAACACCTGTATTGTCTTTATAAAATACTTATGCATTTTATAAAGGCCCATAGCAATAAGATCAATATTTCCAGTGTAATTGTTATTGTTCAAATAGGTGGACTCAGAGGCACATCTAGACCATCTCAAACTTTGAAAGAGATCTTTTTTTTGACCCAAAATGTACAGTTTAGGCCCACCTGGAGTAGGCAGCAATTATACATAGCTAGAGTTTCAATTTTACTAGTTTACTTTGTCTTATAAACTCTGTTTCACTAGTAACTTCTTCAGGTTTTAGATTCCATGCTATTATGACTGTTGTTATGAATTTCATTTCAGAGGCGCTGGGATCACAGAGTCAGCACACTAGGACAAAGAAAGATAAGCAAAACTTAGAAACCAAATTTCAACTCTATACAGATACAACTGAAGAAGGCTGTCAGATTTTTTTTAATCAGTTGGAGACTCTTGACAAATGCAGTTTCAATGCTTCTCTTCCTCTGGTGATGATAGTCCATGGCTGGTCGGTATGAACTCACATTTTATTTTTAATTCAAACTACATCTGATTTGATTTACGTTCCTTCTCATTATGTTAGTGCCAAAAATAACTTCAGAAGAAAAGTTGTGATTAGAAAGATGGTGGATTTCCGTGGTAGCAATCATGGCTAGAAATAATACAAAGTGGATATTCCCCACTGAGGTTCTGGAGGAATACCGCAGTCTACTGCAGTCTACAAGCAATTTTTCATATGGGAGTCCCATGCCAAGGCTTAGATTCAGCCCTGGTTTAAAGCCAGCAGAGTTCGAACAAGTAGCTGAATTAAAGTTCTATGCCTCTGGAGGACTGAATACCAGTTTCATTTCTCTGATATGTTCACTGCCAGATATTTACAGACTTATTGAAAAGAAGTGTACACAATCTCTCCACACCTTTCTCACAGATACGCCTTTAAAGAGAACTTCTCTTTAAGCCCCTTCAGCTGAAAATGAAGCCTTCAACGTCAATGAATTATCACTGAACTGCTTCCAGTGAAACTGTAAAATAGAAGTTCACCACAAAAACCTTTCTCCAAAACATAGCAGTACTAAGAGTGACTTTTGATCAGCTTCTCAGTCGAAAAAGAAACAAAAGAAAAGGCAGGATAAGAAATAATGTCATTTTAACAGATCCTTGATTCTGATAGAACCAATGTCATCACATAAGGCGGTAAAACGGATCATTCTTGCACATCTGCAAATACGTAGAGAAACTCTGAACAACACCCTTGACGCATATAACTCTCTTAACAAATAACAGCAGAGCTGACTTTGGATGAAATACTGCCCTAGATTACCTTAGCCAAGCCTCCCAACTAAGAATTTGTTCAAAACCTATACCCTCCTCAAAGACAAACCATGGACCTGAAGCTGCTGCCATTGAAGTTTATCACTCATATTAACTTAATTTGCAGAGGGGTTGGTCTCTTAGAGGAATATGTATGGAAACCCAGAACGGAGACTCCCAAATTCTATTAAAACACCAGATGAGATAAGAATGTTCTATCAATTGCGCAAATACATGCAACTAGAGCAACAATTACATCCGATAGATTAAATAATAATTCTGGTCATCAGAACCAGTCTTGGATGCTAGTAAGGAAATTGTGATCAGGTTCTTAAAAAAAAGAATGACCAAAAAAAAAGCAGATCTCAAAACGGAATGGCTGTAGAAGGTAAATGCCCGCTGATCTGCAATCCTCCAGCTTCCCTCCTTCTCCAATCCTTTTAGCTTAAATTTACAGGGACAGCTGCTCTTGAATGAAATAAAAAATTTTCTGGGCATTTCTGTCTTCCTTTTTAGTCAGTAATACCAATTATCTTAGGCTGAGTGAAAATATTTAGGGACATAATTTCACTGAAAAGAGTTCATATCACAAGACATAAATTATTATACAGTTCTTACATTGATCCTTAAATTTTTTTGCCCACCAAAACCCAAAGATTCTCAGCACTGAAGCATGCTGAAGCCCCTAAAATCTAGTTATCAGCATCAAGCCCTCCTTGTTTATGTTACGTTTTTTGTTTCCTTGAGCTTTTCACAAGAAATATTTGGCAGAGACTGCATTTCCTTAAGAATGTTTTTCTAGTTTTTTGTTTTGTTTTGTTTTGAATAAAACAGGTGGATGGGATGTTAGAAGGTTGGATTTGGAAAATGGCAGCAGCTCTGAAGTCTCAGCATAAACAAATTAATGTGATCATTGCAGACTGGCTTACATTTGCTCACCAGCACTATCCCATTGCTGTACAGAACACACGCTTCATAGGACAGGAGATAGCAGACTTCCTGGAATGGCTGGAGGTAAGAGCCCCCAGATCAACACATGCTTCTCTGGAAAAGACCTATTTACCTGTTCTTATGCTTCTACCACCCTTCTGAAATACTACGCTGGTTAATGCTGTTCATTTCAATCACTTACATTTCTTTAATACATGGCAAATTTTTCTTCCATAAACTTTGATATGACATCATAAAACTTTCATCATGCAAGAGAAAAAAAAGCAAGTGGTCTTGTTTATTAAAATATTTTTATATATCTTTAGAGGTGAGATAATTTCATGCTACTTTAGCTTCTCAATTAGCATATGTGCAGACAGCTGACAGAGTCCCACACTTTGAAAGCAGGGACACATCATCATTTGCAAGTGGTTAGTTCAGTAAAATGCGTTTATGTTATCTGTGCTTAATGTCTGCTTTTAATGCAGAATTCAAGCATGACATTGTGTCTGATTTTTGCCTCAGTTCCCCAAAGATTATTCTAAAATAATGGCTTAGAGATTCAGAATGTGAAAGGAGACCTTTTAAGAGGACAGACATGCTTCACAAAGCAGATAACATGGAGGCAGTAGTGAGTACAGAGCCACACTAATGTAGTGACTACTTTCCAAAACTCCTGCTACATAGGGAGCAGTGGCCATGGCTGGATTGAAAAGGCTGCAGGCAAGTCTGCAAAGGATCACTGGTCTCCAGCACTATTTAGGAAAAGGCAGAAAGCAAACACTAGAATGAGGATCACTCATACAAACCAGGCACCCTAAGCAACTCTTATTTCATCTATCTCTAGTACTAATTTAAGCTACCTAATTTGAAATGAAATTATACTTCTGTACCTCACAATCAATTTTTGAATACATTAATTTAAATACAGTGAGGCCTAAGGTAGAAGGGAAATACACTGCAAAGCTGAAAGATTTGCAGCAAATACTGCTGAAAGGCTAAGCTGCTTTCAACAGGAACGGCAGGGCTAGAAGAAGTTGTCAGATACCATGCGTGGTTAGGGACAACAGGCACAAAAGAGAAGGCAGAGAGCCAGAGTCACTATTTTTCCTCGTGACATTACAAGAAACCTTAGCTCTTGGTCAAATGTAGTTTAAGTTGCTGGAGCCTAAAGTCATATTTTGAGGCTGTTTAATTATTGAATGAATCAAATGGTGGACTTTGTTCAGTTCCCGGGATGACACACCACATCGTCAACAATAAAGACAGTCTGTGACTTCTCCAGTGTCAGCAAACAAATGGAGGCTTGAATAAATGACTCCTTGCTCTAGCATTGTAGGTAGCTTCTCTTGTTCCATGATATGTTCCAGGATTTAAATATAGTATAAATTTTCACAGCATGCAGTTGAGCATGTTCAAGCAATAAACCTTGATTCTGTTAAGAAGAACCCCTGCTGAGTTTAACAGTTAAAAACCCCTTCATTCCAACACCCATAACTATCTTTCCACTATGCTTCTGTCTGCTTACAAGCAGGCAAGTATTTGAAATATCCTCAATGGGTGTAACAAAAACTGCAGTGCGTGCAACATTTTAATAAAGAATAAAAATAAAGTAAATCTTAGCGCTCTTAGAGTTAATAGGGCATGATCAGTAACAATCTCAATAGTATCCATCTCAATGACACCTGCCAAGAAAATTGGTCAGATCTTGTGATTTCTAAGAACTGCCTCTCTCAAAAGAAGGTTGCTGAGTTTCACAAGAGGCAGGTATCGAGACTGCAAAGCCACTTTACTACGATAGGCAATATCCACAATGAAATTAAAACAGAAGTTTGCCTTTCCTGCAAGAAAAGTATGTCACATTTTTCTTTACAAGTCAGAAAAACTTTGAGCCTTGCAGCTCAGATGAAATGCTTAAGATCCAGATAGTATTGATTAGGTGGAAAAAGGGCCTGAGGCCAATTCTGCTTTAATAGGTTTGTCTCAGTTCAGATACCCAGTTCTGTACAAATCAGTCCAAGAAATGTCATTGCCGCATCATTTAGCATGTCTGATCAATGTTTTGATACTTTGGCTTCTAATTTGGCTTGTGCTAGTATCTCAGGCAAAAAAAAGCACGGCACTTTCTATAAAGGATTGTTTTACACTGAAGTTAAAGGACAGATACCCATTTTACAGTCATAGGAAAGTCAAATGCCGCAGACAAAAGGCAATGCATATTTGCATCACTTGCAACAAACAGCAACAAAAATCCTACTATCTGTGTTGATGGTTTTCCTGATCATACCAGATAAGTAGCAGTGCCCAAATATGTGGCATTTTCCTGCTGCATGAAAAGGAGGCAAGGAATAACATTCACCCAGCGAAGAAATTTAGTGCATGATCCATGCACTTCATTCAACCTCCATCATCAACATGCAAATTTCTTGTGTTGCAATTCATGGCATTCCCAGCTTGCAGTAAGTATTTCACTGTTTACTTTTCACATTTTCTGCATCTAAATCAAGCTGCCACTATCTTCCAGGAATCCATTCAATTTTCCAGAAGCAATGCTCATCTAATTGGGTACAGCCTAGGAGCTCATGTTTCAGGATTTGCTGGAAGTTATATCAGCGGTACGAACAAGATTGGAAGAATTACTGGTAAAAGACTTATAATTTTAAGATATGTAACAGTCAACTGATTTAAGTTACATAGATATTTGACATATCAATGTCATATCAATATTTAGGTGTTGAATAGCAGTATTTGCCACAGTTTAAAAGTTTCATCCCATTGGTTTAGAAATTAGATTTAGAAAATTTAATGAAAACGCTTTTCAAAATGAGGTATCATAGTATCTCTAGCTTTGATCTTTCCTACCTCGGTCCAAATTATGACATATAGAATATACAAGCATGGGGACTACAAATAATAAACCAAAGATACATGTTGCATGTTGCTTGAATTTACCTCGTATCCATTCCCAGTAATACCTTAAACTAAATGTAAGCCATTAACCTTGGATGTTTCGTCACTATCTTGACCCAAAGCCATTCAAATACACTGTTCATTGTTAGCAACTAATTTTAAAAAGAAAATTACCTTAGAGGAAATTGTCTAACTGTGCTTCAGATTTTAACTGTGGTACATTGCTCATACAGTGAATTGAAGTCATTTCTCTTGTAGCAAAAATTATAGTCCTGAATTACATTTTACAAGAGGCATATCATTAGAGTATCCCTAATAGATGCTTAAAGTAAACAAAGTTAAACATAACACTTGATTGTTTTGACTAGTGGCATTTTGAACCTTCTGTAATGTTTTGTAACTGTTCTAATTATGAGTGTAACGCAAATATAGTATTTATAAGGTTGTTGATACACTGTACACAGTACCGCATCTAATGCACAGTGACAACTTAAAAAAAACCAAAACAAAACCCAAACAAAACCAAAACAGGAGTGCGTTTTACACGAGGCCCACATCAGCTACATTTAAGTTATCAGAGAAAACGTTTTACTTTAATCTGATTTAGGCGTGAGGCAAATATGCATGACTGTAGTTTGAAGTCCCGATTCTGATCTTTGATTCATTGCCACATACCACAGTCCCTATATAATCAGCTCTTGTGACGGTGCCTGCATGCCAAGAAGCCGATTTTACACAATATGTCTGATATTATACCTGTGTATACACTGAATGGCTTTAGTTCATTAGCACTGCTTGTTCAAACCATATTAGTACATCAAACCTCGATAACGGATAAGTAAAAAACCATTAACACACATTATTTATTGTAACAGCTATATGCATTCTTCAGCAAAAATTATTCAGACTTGTAACAATAAGCTTTAAAAATTCATAGCGATAAAAGCTGTTAAAAATAAAAGGAAATGTATGTCTTCAGGGTGACATCCCTACTTATAGCCTGTGTTACTAGTCTTGTCCAGTTACATCTATGCAACTATGTTAGTCCATAGTACCAACTGGAGAATCTCAAATTTAGAAGCTTGTCCTCAAAACTGAAGGCAGCTTTAAACTACGCAGGCAGTCCTTTCCATAAATCAGTTCCCAACCAAAAAGAGCACCATACAAAAATATCCAGCAAACTAAAAATCAGTGAGACTCCCTAAGTGGAATATTATTTTTCTGAATACCATATATGTATATAATGTATATGTATACAACACTGTAATAATTTGCCTTGAAGACTTTTAAAGTTGAAAAATTCTTATAAACAGCATCTAGCAGACATATAGCTCTTTTAAGCAATAAGCGAAGCTTTATAAAGTTTCAGTTCCCAAATGTGGGCTAAAAGTCAACCTTGTTGTGGGACTGGTGTCTTCAAAAGGGCCTCTGAAATGCACGACCTCTAGAGTACGAAAAAACAAAATTAAGTAAACATCCCTCAAGTGACAAAGCAGTAGTGAGCATGGTTTGTCTATAACAAACATATCTATCTCTGGGTCTGTGTCCTTGTGCATGTAGCAGTTACTGTTTATTACAGTGCCTGTGTTTACTTTACCTTTTGGTGTAACCACGTACACTCTGCAGGACAAGTGTTCCTAGCATTGTTTCTATCAGTGAAAGACCTTGTAAAGTACCAATGTTATTTTTAAATATTTATCACAGACTTTTCTCATAACAGTTAAAGAACAGCCTACTTGCACTACATCACAACTGGATTATTTGCATTTATTGCAGGCCTTGACCCTGCCGGTCCCTTGTTTGAAGGAATGTCACCAACAGACCGTTTATCTCCAGATGATGCAAACTTCGTAGACGCAATTCATACATTCACTAAACAGCACATGGGTCTCAGTGTTGGCATCAAGCAGCCTGTGGCTCATTTTGACTTCTATCCCAATGGAGGCACCTTTCAGCCTGGCTGTCACATCATGCACGTGTACAACCACATTGCACAATACGGAATCACCGGTAAGAACCAATGGCACAAAATGGGAAGCAGCACTGCAGCTGCACCAACAGTATCTCTCGGAAACTTTACATATCTCTATGGTCTTAAACAGTATCTAATGGGAGTATTATCTCATTATATGCAAGGAAATTTTCTTTTCTAGAAAATGGCTATCTGATTTTTACATGTATTGAGTTCAAACTGTTCTTACTGACTCCAGTAAGGAATTTGGCTGCCTAGCACTTCTGAAAACGAGGCCATGTGCATCCTGCTGTCAAGCACTTCTGAATAATTTCAAAGGTATTTGTTTTAGCAGTAAAGGAAATGAGAAAACTTACTCTAATTAAGCCAGATTCATCTAGTGTGCAATTAATTATTTAAAATCAAATAAAACACAGGGCTGTACTACTCACCTCCTTAGTTCACCTTTTCCCAACTCCCTCTCCTTCAGTGGCGCAGATGATGCTCTCTCTAGGACCTGACTGCCAGTGTTCCAGGCTAGGTTTTATATACAGAAACTTATTTCCAATGTACCTACACATAAACGGATAGAGAAACTGATGAAACATACCGAAAAAAGATGCACAGTGACAACCAGAACTGTTCACTGAAAAACCCCAAAAGAGTACTGTTCACCCAGCATATTGCACTACAAAAATATTTCTCAACTATCATCACACTGTCTAAAAGTAGGCCTTACTTGTTAGCAGACAATGCATGACAAATGTGAAACCAAGCATCAGCTAGAAAACTTATCAGTGAAGACATATAAAAAGTCCATTGTGATATATCCCGATTACACAGAAGAAAATAATTTTCGTAATTTGATTCACTTAAGGAAGAAAAAGATACTTCTCGTAAAAGCAGATCTATATATTAATACATAGATATAATAAATACATTATTTTTAATGTATTTAATACATTTTTTGCTCCTTTTTCCCCAGTAGTAGCTGCAAGCAAAATTCAATTCACCATCAGAGTTTGTTACTCTGATAGGGACAAAATATGGTATTACCGCGTAAGCATCCAAAAGACAACGGTGTTCAACTGTTCAGAATGAGACTGCTGTCTTTAATGTGGCATGATCTGAAAGACTGCATATAGTCTTGTATTATATTTCATATTGACCAAAACAGCCAGGATAATGAAATCAAGGTTCATATTTACAGTCTTAAACAGTCAGGCTAGAGAAGGTTAAGCAGCAAATTATTCAATTTTATTATTGTGTGGGTTCAGCCAAACTATTTTTGGATGATCCTAAAAGTAAAGTTGCTACAATGTATGATTTCTGAGGCAAAAGCATGATGTTTTAATAGTAAAGGGGGTGGGGAGAAAATAACATATGTTTATAGTTGGTTACTGTACTCCTCTGCAGTTGAAATGGTAAAGAAGGCATGCAAAATTTTGTTGTTTGCATTTTTTCAGGCATCACTCAAACTGTGAAATGTGCCCATGAGAGGTCAGTTCACTTGTTCATTGACTCTCTGCTTCACAACGATAAGCAAAGCACAGCATACTGGTGCAACGACATCAACACTTTCAACAAAGGAATGTGCCTCAGCTGTAGAAAGAACCGGTGCAACACACTGGGCTACAACATCAGGGAGGAAAGGCTCCCAAAAAGTAGACGTCTCTTTTTGAAAACAAGAGCACATATGCCTTTCAAAGGTTTGTGGGAATACTTGTTACAGTCTGCAGATTGATCACAAAGTGTGAGAATGAGCCTAAGCTTTATGATCCTATTTACTCATTTATTAAAGCTCATAAAATCTATGGGAATAATCAATTTGCTGAGACAACTGAGAATCCCGGTAAGACGTCTTGATGCCCTTTCATCAAGATCCTGACTCTTAATATTTCTGTGGGAAAAAGCATGCTGCATGCTTGCCACAGACTAACTGTGGATCTGAAGCCTCAGAGATGCTTAGGGTCCTGATCTACAGGATTTTCCTACAACTGGCCTGTGCTACCTTGTTATAACATATGCAGGCATACAGCCAAGCCAAAAAAGCAGCATAATTGTTCTGGGAGGCCTGTAAAACCTCCTGTTCCAAGTTTGCCCAAATTTTATCTGCAATTAGTCTATAAGATGACGTATAAATTATTACTTTTCAAACAATGGATAGACAACAAAATAGCATGGACTTTTACAGGACAGAACTGTAGCACTAAAATAAAGTGACTGGTATGCTAGCTTTATCTCCATTAGATTACTTTATCGACAGCACAAAGTAACAATTTTCTAAGCTCAGACAGACAATCAGTGTGGTTTCTTGCACATATTACCAGACAGAGGGGAAGTAGTCTGACAGGGAAACAGGGCCTATCTGCCAGTCTCCATTACAAAATGGCCTGGGCCCGGCAGTACGCTGGTTACAACTCAGTTGTCAGAGAGCCCGCAAGGCGACTGCTGCTGTTGAGCAGACATTCACCTGCCGGGGGAAGGTTTACGTACATTTTAAAGCAAGAACAAGCAGCACTGTGTGGGATGAATGGCAGGGACACGCTTCTTCCAAGGGACTTTCGGTGCAGGGACTTCTGGTGCGTAGCATTCCTCCTCACTACCTCCTTCCCTGGCTATTGATGAGGCATGCAGCGAGCAAGAGTGCGGCGCAGCCCAGGCAGGGCCCCTGCTCAGAGCCACAGGCCACCGTGCATGGAGGAGACTTGTGAAGTGTGCCCACCTTCCCGCCAAGCGGCCGGTGCCCTTCCCACAGCCCCCTCAGCACCTGGGCCCCTGCTGCACCGCAGCCCCACACCTCTCCTCAGCACTGAGGCAGTGCCAGGGTCCCGCCTGCCCCCGGGCTCCCCCAAAACAGCCCCACAGCCATCAGGGTCCCTCATCACCTCACCCACTGCCTGAGCTGGCCTGTTCTGCCTGGCACAGCCAGGAAGGGGGTGCCTCCCTCCTTTTGGAGGGGGTCAGCCCGCTTGTCCCCGCCCAAGACATTGGGGCTGGGGACGCACTTTGAATGTCGACAGTGCGCCCCTGGTATGGACACTCAAGGGCTTTCCAGTCCTGAGGAGAAATGCTTAAAAATGCTGCTTGCATTACACATCTTGTTTCCCTATAGTGCCTGGTACTCAACTGCAATATCAAAGATCTAAAAAAAATACAAAAATTCAGGTACTTTTAAAATAATTTTGGAAGTCTTCCACTAACGCAGCTGCGAAGTACACAGTGATGACTCCAGAGGGCTCTGCTCAGCCCTGACTGATACTCAGAGCAGCTGAATCTGCTGGATCGCTTCTTATACTTTCTAAAATGCCTCAGGAAGCTACTGAAGTAGATTTAAAAATTCTAGAGGCCATGTCTAGTTCCCGATGTAATTTTGCTGCAGTACAGCCACGTCACCATGAGAATCAGGAAAGCAAATTGCTCTGAGGATGCGGCATCTGCTACCACCACACCTAGGCACAGAAACGCGATCCCTGTGTTGCATTCTTCTCTGGACACAGAAACAGTTTCAGCTTGTTGTAAAATATCTGTGTCTTATTGGCTTTGATTTCAATTTGAAACATGTTGCATTTTTTATGCTTGGAACTGGTTTTGCTTCAAAAAAGGGTCCTTGGCGCATATGGAGATATCAGTGCCCCAGACAATGGTTTCCTTTCACAAAAGGTACCAAACAAGGCAGCAACTGTGGGAGGGTGCGTACAATGTCATCTTTGTAACGCTCTTAAAAAAATGTTTGAAGATCATGTGAGAAGTCCAAACAGAAGAAATTTGAGAACTCAGCATTACGCTTCTCAATCCTCTGCGTCTTCACAAAATCTGATGTTTCATTTTTCAAGTTAACAGCTTTATATTCTGCAGTGTATGTTAATCCAGTTCAAACAAAAAATAGTTGTTACAAAGAGTTAACATTTATAATAAAGCTTCGATGGGACCCTGAGTCAGAGTTTTTATATGAATATGCTCACCTTTTTCCTTAAAGTGAGCATTATAACCACAGCAAAAGCCTAAGCTTTATCAGAACATACACTAGAACAATCAATTTTTACACAGAGAGAAGACTCAGAGAAAGACAGGATAGTAATAAAACTGATCTGTGAATAAGACTGTCTGCCTACTTTGTCCTCATCAGGTTTGCAGCAAAGAATCAGCCATTTTGTTTTCTACTGAGCGACACATTTTCAAATGAAAATACATTGTTCACTAACATACAATAACTATGAAACAACAACGAAAAGATACAGCTTTTCTAGCAAATGCCTTTCATTGTGAACACTCAGAGCTGCACAAAAAAACCCCAGAATCTGTCTGTGCATATACATAAAAAGATGACTCTCAGCAGTATGGCGGAGCCATTCTCAGATCTAGTGAAGCCTGAAGTGGGTGCAGAGAGGAAATGAGGAAAGAGCATCTTTCCACTCAAAAACTAGTGTGCAATAACATTTACCAGAACAGTTTCCCATGTGTAACTTGACCAGATTGCAAGGATAAATCCAACACCCTTAATTCTTCCAAATACTCTATGGTCTTTGGGTTTTCTTAATTAACACCTAAATCTATCAGTTTTGTCAAGAAGGTGGCTGGTAGAATCACCAGACAGAAGAGTTTTGGACATTCAAATCTAGCTGACAATATCTGTGTGCACATGGCCTCTAACTGTATGTTGTTTGTTTTTTTTTTTTCCCAGTAACTTACTAAATGTCAAACTGCTCGTAATCAGTACACTGATGATTTTGTAGGCATTCTTCATTGTGATAATATTCAGTTCAAAGACTTTCCTAAACACTCTTCTTCTAGAAACCCACCAAATCTCAAAGTATTAATGACATCTTTCTTATAATAATGTGCTTGAACAAAGTCGTATTGTTAGCGGATGCATGTTAAGCACAATGTATCATTATGCAGTCAAGGAAAGTTTGTGAGTCATCTGTTTTGCAGGGCAATTTTCTAGCCGATCAGAGAAAAAGCCTGATTACACTGCATAAGGTCTTCAATCTGTATCATACGTCTCGAGCCATGTCCAGTCATAAGGATTTGTCTGGTGATTAGATAGAGGGCTTGCCAGAAATTCTAACAATTAAACTTCAGAAAAGCTGAAATATTTCTCATGGAAGAATGTTTTATCCTACAAAGGGAACTCAGCCCAGGTTACCTTTTTTCTCCATCCTTTTAAATAGAGCAACAGGGCCTCAAACCCTAAGGGATTACACAGCACAGCAACAATCAGAAAAAATGATGATGTTTTAATTGTAACAAATTAGTTTAAAAAATAAAATGGAATATCAATGAAGTTTCTTCTCTGAAAGGCAAAATTCTTTTGCCTGAGAAATCTATTGCTTTTTTGACCGTTAATTTCATCGCTTTGCAAATTATTCCTTTCTACAGTCTATCATTATCAGTTCAAGATCCACTTCATCAATGAAATCCAAGACAAGCAGATAGACCCAACTTTTACCATCTCTCTGACAGGCACTAAGGAGGATGCTAAAAACCTGCCCATCACACCGTGAGTATTGATATTACATGTCATTGTACAAGTGGGAAACAAGGTGCTAATTTGCAATACCATATCATGTACATAATCATGCTATTAGTGAAATGGCTTAGTACAGCTAAGTGAAGATGAACTGGAAATTGTCCTCTCTTCACCGATACTCTCTAAAAATCACACTTTCACAATGTTCATACAGCTTTTGCACGAAAAATCTCTATAAAACAAACTTAGTAATCTTGGAAGTTTCCGTGAACATTAAGTGTCCTGTCCACTTATGTTCAGTCCATCCCATGGCTAACACAGGGAGGTCTAATCAATTAAAACACAAATAAATAAGCAGCTGTAATTAAGGTAAAGAATTTTGGATATTTCTCGTGATGGACATTAGCTCTATTAACAAAAGCAAAGGCAACAGTGTGGGTCAGCATTTGCTCTAGCAGACATAAGACATAACCTAGATGCTATTATGGGACACCTTTTCTTTCACTGTCAGAAACTACTAGTGCTTCACCAGCTGTTCAAGCTTCTCCCACTTCTGCTTCTTTTCTAGCAAGTTGTCATTATTTCACCACTTTATGCACCTGGAGGAAGAGTATCCTACAGACAGTAATGTTCCCTCCTGGAGAAGGAGGAGGAAACATAGTTCTTTGGTTTCAAAGAGAAGAGAAACACTTTTTTTTTTCACTTTAATCCGTAATAATTAAGAGAGCATTATTCTGGTTTTGTTTTCTGCAGAGTTGAAGGTATTAATGGGAATAAAACCTACTCTTTTCTCATCACCCTGGACACCGATATTGGTGAGCTAATAATGATCAAGTTCAAATGGGAAGGAACTGCAGTTTGGGAAAATATCTGGGACACAGTTCAAACCATAATACCATGGACAAAAGGCACCCGTCGACCAGGACTTATAGTGAAGACAATAAGAGTGAAAGCAGGGGAAACACAGCAAAAGTAAGTGTAATGAAAACACTGTAACAACACCACAGATGTTTGGCACACAGGTTATCCTAGTTCAAATACAAGCATCTGAGTCCCAGCACTCACACCAATGGTGAATTTATCCATGTACAACTTCTGGCTTCCTCCCTCCCCCTCAGATCAGACTGCATGATTTTTAAGTGACTTAAAGAATTTCTTTGTTCTCAAGTCAGAAATGACTAGTGGGAAATGTTCTGGCTCACCACTGCCACTAATCTGAGTTTAAGGCAAAATAACCTTGGGTGACAATTTTATTGATACTTGGGAATAGAGGATAGAGAAGGAATTAACACACAGATCCAAGGAATAATTTTAAACAAGTTCTGCAATGCAATTTTTCTACACAATTAATGACAATAACTGATTACAATTTCTGACTTATTTTTAGAATGTGATTATCTCACTCCATAAGGACCTTATAAAATTTCAAAGAAACAAGGTACTATGTAAGATAAATATCGACTTCAACATTAAGGCCAGGAAAATTCAAAATCCTACTAACAAAAATATGCCAAATCTTAATTATTTGACTTTCAATACCTACTTCATAGAGAAATTCAGCATCACCATTCTTGAAAGTACTCATTAGAACATGTGCAGAACCACACAGTCATCTGATTAATCATTGAAGTTAAGGGTTTTATCATAAAATTCCCTTATTTTTGTCTCATTCATTTAAAAGCCAGTCCAGTTTCTGATAGTTGATAATGAATTTCTACACTGTGCAGGCTGTATAAGAGGTTCCTGGAGTGATAAACTGTGGAAGCAAAGTTTCAACTACAGACATTCTGAAATTTCTGTAGTGGGCAAACAGAATGTGAACAGTCCTGGAAAACAAAAAGACTATCTATACTTCTACATACCACACTTTCACTAGTATTTGACAGTAATTTTTGCAATCTGGTTGTGCTTTTTTCTATAGTATGAATTCAGTGATGTGAATTTTGTCAGCTGAACTCTGAAGTAGCATCAGAGAGCAGTTTTCTGGAGAAAAAAAAAATTTGAATGCAAACTGAAGAAGTGAAGTCTGTGTTTGGGTTTTTTGGGTTTTTTTGTTTGTTTGTTTGTTCATTTGTTTTGGGGTTTTTTTTGGGGGGGTGGGGGTATTCTTTTTTCCTTTTTCCCCTGCTGATTGCTTTGAAACTGGATCACCAAGTCTGAGTGGCCTTGTTCTCTACATACAGCAATGCTAATAACACTTTTGAAACTGCTTATTCACACAGAGAAATTTCAGCCAGAAGACAGAATAACAAAACTTGTAATGATTCCCACTGCTTTAATCCTTTGAGAAATTTTAACTGAGCAGTTTAATTAAGGTTAATAAGAAAAGCATGTCTTGCCTTGTAACTGTGGCTCAGTCTTTGAAGGTGATTTTTCCTTGCTACAGTCTCTTTCTTACCAGTACCTGTTGTAACTACTGCAGACCTTCTGTGGAACAGTACTTATTGGCAGAGCTGCATCTCCTTGATACTGACACGAAAGACAAATTAGACAATTTAAAGAAACATTTTTGTAAGACAATCTGTGTGTGCTGGGCGGCAGAGGAAGGATCATATTTTCTTGGGTTTTGTCCCCCTGAAAATGTATTTTGTAGGTATTTTCCTCTCCTAACCCAGGACTTGGCAGATGCTCCTACTATTAAAAAAAAAAAAATTCTATAATATCTCCACCTCTTTTAAAAGAATTGATCCCCAATCTGACCTAGTACTGACCTAGCTGCCAAAGCAAATTAAAGCATAGTATACACCGCAAATTAGAGAGCTCTGTTTAAATTTTTGTACCTTGAGAAAAAAGTATGAAGGCTGTGCAGGGATTATGTCAGGTATACTCATTTTTCTAACCAGAAAGCTCCTGTCCAATACAGCTGTGTCAATAACCTGGCACAAGCCAATTACTACTGATGTACTATAAAGAAATCCTAGGAAATGGGTAACTGAGGTGGGTAGTTATTATACTGACAAAAAACAATGCTGGTATCTTCAGATACCTAACGCTCCTTAGAATTTTTTTTGCTGCAAGCAGAAGTGTGAGTTTGTGTCAAGATTTTAATGGATACTGATGACGTGCTGGGTTTTGTGCTGTGCAATCTGGGCTTGTCATGGGAATGGAAATGACATGTTCCTGTTGAAATAGTGTATTAATGCTTGAGGGGAGAATGAGAGATTATTAGGTGATTCTAAAAGGAGAAACAAAGCACACTCAAGGAAAAGTATTTTCTTCAAAGAAAAGTGTGTAGATTTCGGTCTTCTTGGAAAGACCAAACATCATTTACCAGCAGTCCTGGTTAACT